ATCTGTGTACGAGCTCGCACATCAGCAAACAGCCCCGTCGTCGTGCCCCAGAGTTGGGAAGTATGGTCACGGGATCCATGAGACCCTCTTGAGGTGGAGACGAGCCATCAGAATCCTGTTAGAGTAGCTCCAGAGTGGCCAGGGGTAAAGCAAAAAGCATTTGAAAGACGATGGGAAGAGGGCCGTGCTTGTCCCGCGGTCCTGGGCCCTGAGCTTGGAGGCACACCCGGCCTGCTCTCTCAAGCTCTGTCTCCGCGGGGGGGGGGGGCCACCCGCCGGCCCTGCCGCCCCCTTTACCACACCCTGCCGTCCTCTTCAGGATGAAGCCGGTGGGGAGCGTGAATGACGTGGCCCTGGATGCCTTAGATTTGGATCGGATGAAACAGGTGAGTGTGACCTTTCCTGGGAGGCCATGACAGAGACAGAGGCCGGGACCCTCTCGGGTCCACGCGGATAGGCAGGCTCAGCAGGGCGGCCAGAAGTCGCTCGGAGCCAGCGGTGGAGGAAGGGGGCCCCCCGCCCCATCATCAGCAGAAAAGCACCCCTCTACCCTTCTGGACACTCCAGCCTGCTCTGGGCCCCCCCACCCCCACCCCTGGGGCTGCCCCTGGCAAAGCCAGCTTCCCGGACTCTGCTTCCTGTCCCTTCACTTTGAGGCTCTGCTCCCAACAGGAGATCCTCGAGGAGGTGGTCCGAGAGCTGCACAAAGTGAAGGAGGAAATCATCGACGGTGAGTGCGGGACCCACCCTGGGGCGTCACCCAGGGTCCCGGGGGAGCGGCAGGGCGGCCTGGCCCCCAGGGCTGCAAGGCAGCAGAGCGGTGGCAGCCCAGCCAGGGAGACCCTCCTGGGCCCAGAGGCCCGCGGTTCCACGTCACCCCCCTTCTCTGGTCAAGCAGACTGAGGCTCAGTTAAGTGAGGTGGGGTGACAGCTAGCTCCGCACTCCCCGGCTTCCTCCCTGGGACAAATGTGTGAATGTGTGGAGGGGAGAGGGATCGGAGAGCGCATTCCAGAGCAAGACCGTTGAAGCCGCCTCCAGTCCGTCCCTCGTCTGTCTCAGTGTCTGTGCACTCAGACTGCCTCTCTGGACTCTGCCACCTTTGATCGCCGGGTCTGCGTTCCAAGCGTGGCGGCGGCCTTCCCCGGGGGGCGGTTACCGGGACCAAGAAGCCACAGAACCACCTGGGGCTGTGACGCAGTCGCCCGCTTGCTTGGCCCTGGGGTGGGCAGCCCACGCCAAGCGCCTCTGGCTGCAAAGACCAGGGCCCCGCCACAGGGCATCACAGCCATCCTTGCGCCACCTGCCCGAGCCTTCGAGGCAGCTGGCTCAGGTCCGGCGCGGGAGGGAGAGGAAGGGTTTGGGCAGAGCAGACTCGCCCTGGGAGCGGCAGTGAGGCCCAGCCCGGGCCCAGCCCGCCTCCCTCCCCCTCCTGAGGGGCCCGGTCCCCACAGCAGCAGCAGGGACCTGGGCACGAGAGGGCTCCGTGAACTAAAAGGGGTGCATGCTGGCGGCAGGGGTTTGGAGAGGGGAGGGCAGTGTGGGAGCCCGTGTGCAGGGCCGCCAGGCCTGGACCCCGCGCGCCGAGCTGGGACCGGCCACGCCCTGTCCTTGTCCCAGCAGAGGACGCTCAGTTCTTGTTTGTCCGGTCCCCCCGCCCTGCAACGGTCCTGGGCAGGGCAGATAAAGAGTTAATGAATGAAGAGCAAGGCCAAGCCCCAGAGGAGAGGAGACACCAGGCCGAATATTAACTCTGCTTTATTGCTGGGGCCCCCACCTGGGAGGGGCCGGCCCTCTGGCCCCAGGAGGCTGGGTAGGCGCAGCCGCATGGAAGCGGCCTCGTGGGCGGCCGCTGGGCCCAAGGGAAAGCACAGACAATGTGGGGGCTCCGAGAAGCACCCCCGTGTTACTGGCTAAGTGCCCGGCACTCCGCTCTTTCAGCTCCAGGCCCAGTGGGGTCCGTCTGGCAAAAGGCCCCAGTCTGGGGGGTAAACCGTGAGGGGTGGGGACAGGAAGCTGGGGAGAAGAGTAAGAGGAACCCTGCTCAAGGCTGGGCCCTACCTGCTGCCGCTGCCAGAAGGGGGGCTCCGGGTCCCCGAAGCAGCACCAAGTGCCCAGCTCTGAGGCGGGAGGCAGGCCAAGCACCATCCGCGCCCCCCCGCCCCCCAGCTCGCCCTCCACCTGGGAGGGGCAGCACCGCCCTCGGGAGGAGAGCCCAGAGGGCTCTGCGGTCACCCCCGAGTCTGTGCCCAAGTGCTCTGCGCTGCTTGACCTCCGGGAGCCTGGCTGAGGCTCTAGGAGATGGAGCAGGGCACACACCAGAAAGGACCTGCCCGGGGGCGTGGGCACAGGGCCCCACAGACAACCAGGCAGGCCTTGTCCCTGCTGCACCTGAGCCTCCCTGTCCTGTCCCTCAGCCATCCGGCAGGAGCTGAGCGGGATCAGCACCTCATAGTGCCCTGGGCCCCTGCTGCTGCCGCCCGAGACACCAGGCCAGCTGACGGCGGGGGACAGCGAGGAGCCCGGCGGCCCCAGGCCTCCAGCACACGGAAGCCCGCACTGAAGCCGGGATGTGCTTCATTTAGAAGTCTTAACCTGTGATAAAATATTAAAATGAGGAAACAAGTTCAATTTCTGGATTTTTTTAGATTCTACCTGACACAGAACACCAGGTCTACTCGCCTTTTTTGTATTTTATATTTGCCTATTTAAGTGTACATTTCTTTTGGTTTATAGAGGACTCCCCAAATCACGCGCTTCATTAGATGGTTTCCGAGTTTTCTCCTAGGTGATGCTGTTAACACCTTGGCTGGCAGTGGCGAGCTGTCCCCAGCGTCGTGGTGGTGAAGTCTGTCCACGCACTGCGGTGTCTGTGTCCACGTGGTAATAAACGCTTACTGTCCACACCCCTGGCTCGGGCTCACTCTCTCACGCCGCCTCTTGGCCACTCCGGGCTGAGGATGCCCCCTTCTGGGGGACGGCCCCCGGGCCTCGTGGCCAGGAGCAGCAAGAAGGCGGCGGCGGCCCTAGCGGGCAGCTGGGCTGAACACAGACAGGGGAAGGCGGGAGCGAGAGCAGGGGCCTCTCAGGCACTTCCAGCCGGGGGTCCTGGGGAGGGCTGCCCCCCGTGGCCTCCCCTGAGACGGCCCGAGTGCCACCCACACCTGGAGTATCAAAGGGGCTGGCTCCGTTCTGACCACAGCTCGGGGAGTGCTGGCTTGGGCTTAGCAAGGCAGCGGGGAAGTGACAGGCTGCATGGTCCCGGGAGGACCCCGGCCCTGCCCTGCATGCCCACCGAAGGCCCACCCCAGCACTTCTCAGACCCTGTGAGTTCCCCTTTGGAGCCAGAGAGGATTTGCCCCTGGGCCAGGAGCAAGCTGGAAATGCTGTACCATCTCCTGACCCCAGGGACACAGCAGTTTGCCCAGCCGTCCTGGGGGGGGAGGGCAGAGGGAGAGGGGATGAGGTGGGGCCCCCAGTCTGGCTGATGACAGGGGACTGCTGTTTTCTGGCCAGGCTCTGGACACCCCAACTCATCGAGTGCTCCCAACAACCCTGAAGCCGGGAGTAGGACGGTTCTGCCTGTTGGGGGTGAGCAGTCTGAGGCCTGATCTCAGAGCGGCTGCCCCCCCGCCCAGGTCCAGCAGCCGTTCTAACGGGGGTGGGGGGGGCATCTGGCAGGTGGTGACAGAGCACACCTCTCTCCCCGGGCAGCCTCCTCCCCAGGACAGCTCTGCAGGTGGCTGGGCCGGCAGCCCCGACGCGGGCAGGCCACCTGTCCAGGCTCCAGTACCCTGGCCCAGCTGCGCTTCCCTCCCAGGGCCAGCTCGGCGTCTAGGGGACACGGGTGCCTGGCATCTCAGGAGGCCACTCCCGGCCCCCGGCAGGAAGTCCACGCTCAGGCACAGGGCGCGGCGACACGCCTCCCTCCCGGGTCAGCTAGCACGGTCCCGCGGCACCCATCCAGGGGCGGTGCTCAGCCTCCCCCGGGGCCCAGGCACCCCTCCTGCTCCTGCTGGCCAGCCCCTGGGAGACCCGGACCCCGCCCTACCCCACCCCACCCCCTGCAGCCCCCTAGGTTTCAGCCGTGCCCCCATCAGGACAGGGTCATCACCAAGGACACCGGCCTGCTGCAGCCAGTCCCCCACCTGTCCGGCCCCCATCTACCCTCCGTCTGGCCTGCGGCACCCTTCCTGAAGATCTCTCAAGTCCTGAGGGAGCTGGTCAGGGAGCCAGACCCCACCCTGTCCAGCCTCTGGGGCCAAGGCCTCGGGGTGGAGCGGGGGCAGGCGTGTGACTGAGGACAGGCAGCGTCTGCAGCGCTCAGCCGGGCTAGAGAGGCGGGAAGGCTGCTAACGAGGGGCTTCCGGGCCCCAGGACACGCAGGGGACACCCACAAAGGCACAAACCCCCCCGCCGGCCCCCGGGGATGCTGCCTAAGCACAAAGCGTGGAGAGCCACAGTCCCTGAGGGTGGGGAGCAGAGGGGCCGTGGCCTGGGCTGGCCGGGAAGGAGGCACGCAGACCTGAGGCCCGCTGGGGTGGGCCAGGGCCCCCTTCTGAGGCCAGGCTGGGGCCTTGACCGCCACTGGGAAGCGCGATGTGAGGCTGTGCAAACAGAATGCAGGGCGTGGGACCAGCAGAGAACTCAGCTCCGTGGAGACTGCGCACGGAGCACCCAGGGCGGGGCCGGGCCTCTGTCCCTGAGAAGGGGACAGAAGAGGAGGGCCCGGCCGGCGGGCGACAGCGCAGGTGCAGACCAAGCCTCTCCAGGCTGCAGCCCGTGCCCAGCGTGGCCAGACGTGGTCCTGGGCTCTGGGACACAGAGTGCAGCCAGGGCATGGGAACCAAATGCAGCCAAACCAGTTCT